TTAAAAGCCATCATCAGAAGGTAGAAGCTATTTGAGGGTAGTAGGAGGGAGGTGGCTAACAGCAGAATTTAGGAAAACTGCCCTTCCAGTCCATTAATAATGGCCACCATAGCCACACCTTAAAAATCATGAAGAAAAAAAGCCGTTTGTCTCAAGGCCAACATCGGATAGTGTAGGGAGAAAGTCAGTTCTGCCCCTAACCAGAGAAAATGACAGAATGAATTCATTTGTGGTGTGGAGAAGGGATAGGCCTGTTATTTCATTGGGATGAAGAAATTCCCTCTCCCAGAGCAGGTTGACATCTTTGCAACCTTCGGTCTTAGAGAGTTATTTGCCTAGAATGATGAGAGGCTGTGATTTGCTCAGGGTCACACCGCCAGTATGAGTCAGATGCAGGACCCAAAAGTAACTATGTACCCAGTAAGCTAGGGAATCTTAAAAGTATAATCAGGGGACCCTGAGAAAGGGAGGTCCTAGGGACCTTCAGGGGATCCATGAGGTCAAAACTATCTTCTTAACAATATGAAAATATTTGAATTTCTTATAGAGTAAATAGACCTAGACACAACCACATAAACAGAACTTCTATGTGGTGGGGTGTCCTCAACAATTTTTAAAAGTGTACAAGGAGTCATAAGTCCAAAATGTTTGGTAACTATTGCACTAAGGCCTGCTCTCACTTGTTTGTGATAAAGCAGGAAATTTTATTCAAATGGAACTTTCAACAGCTCCCTATTACTTATAAAAAAAAAATATGTATCCTTTAGCTTGGCATTTAAGGCCTCTCAGGCTAGTTCCTGTTTCTCTTTCCAGATTGATTTCACTTTATCTTTCACACAGTCTCAATTGTGTCCTAATGGGATGTCTGGAACTCGGCGTTCTATGACCAGTTTCTATACCTTTATGTGGAATTCCCTCTAGAACTGACCTGCCCTCCCTCTTCAGCTACACCTCTCAGAATCCCCATTTTCCTTTAAGATTCAGCTTAGATGCAACCTCCTTTGTGAAGCCTGAAGCTTATCCCTCCCTGGTTTTTATTGATTCTTCCCTATTTAGATTTCCTTGTGTTTCGGTCTTTGTGCCTGCTCTATTCCCCGAGGAGAATGTAAGCTTCTTGAGCAAGCTGGGGGCTGTTTCTTTTTTTGTCTCTATATCCCTAATTCTTTGCATGGTGTTGTGCCCACAGTAAGTGCATAATAAATGAAGTTAGAAAAGAAATCAATGTTTTCTCATTGCCACGGATGGAGCTGATCAAGAGTATCACTTCTGAGAAGACTAAAGTGGAATAATGCTTAAAGCAGTTAATACCAAGTTGGCCCAGGGGTCTTCACCAGGACTCCAAACACATTTGGGGTGTTCTCATCTTGGCTTACTTTCCCTTTTGTGCTTTGCATTTGAGAGCCTACAGCTTTTCCAGCCTGGCCTAAGTGGAGAGCTGAGCTGTAATACAACATTTGATCAGATCTTGTGTGGATGGTTTGAGAATCTCATCCACATGAGTAGGTCCTTCACTGGTAGAGATTACTGCCTCTCTATACTTTCTCACTCTAGATGCTTCTGGGCCATGGATTCTTCTATGTTCTTCAGAGAGGTTCTTCTCAGGGAGAGGAGCCATAAATAGAGGGCCAGCCTGAGAATAAGCAAGATCTGGGTTCAAACCGTACCTGTCTCCTTTACTAGCTGTATGGCCATGGACAAGTCATGTAATTCATACAACATCTATAAAGTACTGCAGAAATGCTGTCATCATTGTGACTATTATCTGTAAAATGAGAGGACTAGACTAGATGGGCCAGCCCTAGTTTTATAATCTGAATCTAGAAGCACTGATTAAGTGCCTGCTGTATACCAGACACTGTGCCAGGCAATAAAGATACTCAAAGACAAAAAAGCCGGGCTTGCCCACAAGGAGTTTACATTCTGTCTAGGAAACAACACTTGCCTGTGTAAGTAGATACAAAGTATATACAGTGTTGCTTAATACAGGGTTCCAAAATCAAGGATAGAGAGCCCAGATAAACCTTTTACTCCACACTTAAGGTTTCGGCCTGATTTATCCAGGTGATTATTTCATCCCTCCATGCGCATCATTTACCATTGATTAAACTGCTCTACTATTCGTAAGAAGAATTGTTATCCTTTTATATTGGGAAAATAACCTAAGATTTGTGATTGTTTTTTTTTTAATTTTTCCAGTATATACATCACCATTTTAAACTGCAGGCTCTCCTATTGCCTTGAATTTAATTAAAACATCTCTCCAAATTGCAAGTTTTGACTACCAACTTAATATTTTGAAAAATCACTCCCAGGCTGGCGCGTGATGTCGATTATAGAGTAGAGTGATTTTATGATTTAAATAAAGCCTTTAAAATTACAGATTTCATCAGAGGTTCATACTCAGCCCTAGTTACAGCGATGGGAAATGATGGTGAGGTAAAATTTCACGTGGCATAAGTCTCTGTGTAATGTTACAAGGAATGAAAGTTTAGAAAGAGTGCAAGTGATAAATTTCCTTTGGGAAAAAAAATGTTTAATCCCATTACCACAGCCTCTTAAAAAATTAAAATGCAACCTAAAAGCCCAGCTCAATAACTTGTAGTGTGGGAAGTATTATTTTTCCAGTACCAGGCTACAGAAATTAAACTTGCAGTTACTCTGGGGAATAAGTGATGAAGAAAACTCTTACGAGGGATATGTTTCCATTCAATAAATAATCATGGCCTTTTACATTCTTCATACTTAGAAAGGAGAGATCAGACCAGAACTGGGGATGAAACATGTAGAAGAAAACGTGGAATATTTTTGTTCATAACATTTCCCCATCACTTGCTTCCAGTCCTCTGTCTGTATGAGATCTGGGACCATAGACAGTATGAGAATATTGGAATACAGAAATTCCTCCCAGACTCACATGGACTGAAAATCTGACCTCTTGTACTTCCTCTATTACAATTAAAATAGCCCAGCAGCCTAATGTTGTATTGAACAGTCAGTTATCAAAGGCAGCAAGGATGGAATATTAGGTCAGCTGCACATGCTGCTGAACTCCGCATTCTCCTGTAACGTTTTGGGGTGGGGTGGGGGGATCTGGCGAGTGTGCAAAGCTTCCCACCCCCACATCCCCACGTCCCATTTACAGAGTTTTTCATGAACCTTTTTTTTTCAGGAGCTTGGGTGACCTAGAGTCTCTTTTATGGAAGTTAGCATCCCTTATTGTGCCCTCAGAGCTTAGTGGAAAGCAGAAGCAGTCATAAAAATATATTACCTTTCTTTACTTGCTGAGAGGGCAATCTGGGTCTCACATTTAGGGACTGACCATGAGACACTTGGTTTACCCCCATATGGTGATCAGCCTAATTTTTCCTCTATTTAGGATCATAGAGTTAGAAGTAAAAGGGACTTTGGAGGATATCTTGTCCAAATCTTTCAGTTTATAGATGCAGAACTGAAGTCTAGACAGGTCAGATGACTTGGCCAAGCATACACAATTGGTAAGGAGCAGAGCCAGGATTTGAACCCAGATCTTCTGACTCCAGTTTTATCTCCGTTGTAATATATGGTGTTGGGCTTAGAGAATGGAGATTTGTTTTCAAGTCTCTATGTACCATTTATTAGATCAGATTTATTGAACAAGGCATTTAATTTCTGGAAGCCCCAGTTTCCTTATATTTAAAATATGAGGGTTGGACTTAATCATCTCTAAGTCAACTTTCAATAGTCTAGGAGATAGACATAGACAGATGGATCTACAGTCCTGGATGTCTTATAGAAAGAATCATAGAGCTAGAGGGACCTGGGAGATCACATGGTCCAAACCCGTCATCTTGTAGATTGGGAAATGGACAACTGAACCCCGAGGGGATGGGTTCAAATCCCACCAATGACGCTTACTATCTGTCAAGTCTTAGGTAAGACACTTAGCCTTCATTAGCCTCATCTGCGAGTTGGGCAAGAAGGCCTCTGTTATCCAGCTATATAACTATGACTCTCTGTGTGACCTTGGACAAATTATTTCATGTCTGTGCCTCAGTTTCCTCATCTGAAGAATAAAGAGGTTGAAATGAAGAGAAGTTCTTAATTTTTGTTTGTGTGTTCTGGACCCCTTTGAGAGTCCATCAGAGTGTAGGAACCCATTCGCAGATTAATGGTTTGTTAACAGCATTCATAATTGAAAGAAATGCTCAATTTTATTTAAGGGTTAGTGAAAAATAAAGATCATTCCCCCCATGTAAGTTCACACACCCCTAGAAATCTGTCCATAGACCCTTGACCTCAGGTTAAGAATTCCTAGACTCAGGGACATTTCGGTGGCGCAGTGGATAGAGCTCGGGCCTTGGAGTCAGGAGGACCTGAGTTCAAATCCGACCTCAGACTCAAAACACTCACTAGCTGTATGACTCTGGGCAAGTCACTTAACCCCGATTGCCTCACCAAAAAAAAAAAATTCCTAGACTCCCTGCTACCTTGAAATCTGTGATCCTGTGCCTGAAGCCCATCAATGCCAAATGTCATTAGCAGAAATGTCTGTTTCTACTGGTATCTTGATGTGAGTTGCTGAAGAGGACATCACTAACATGAGTTTTCTGGAGAAAGGGTGTGTGTGTGTGTGTGTGTGTGTGTTGAAATTAACCACCACAGTGGGGGCTGTTGGTTGGGAAGGATGGGTTGCCCAATAGCATGAGGGATAGAGCTTTGAAAAATGAAAACAGCAGCATCTGGCACCTGGAGAACTTTTCCCAGCAGATGGCAATGATGTTTTAGGTTGATATTCCCATAAAAAGAAAGAAATGAAAAGTATTTAAACCATTGAAAACAGTTTCCATGTAGAGAAGACTCTGAGAGCTGGATATGTTCCCTGTTTGGATGGTTAACTGGCCTCCGATGGAATGTGATTGGTTCGCCCTTGCTGCCCTGGGAATGTTTGGGCTCCAGCATGATTTTGAGTAAGCTCTCCAGGCCTGTGCTAGGTTTGATGTGGTGTGTTTTCCTCTTTCCAGGTGAAATGTGAGGCTAGATCAGCCTTAGCCAAGCCCAAGAATAACCACAGCAGCTGTAAAAAGGGCTCCAGTGAGGAGAAATCAAAGGTCGCCATTGGGGAAGAATGCCGGGCAGAGGAGCAGGCCTTCCTAGTGGCCCTTTACAAGTACATGAAAGAAAGGAAGACACCAATAGAACGAATTCCCTATTTAGGGTTTAAGCAGAGTAAGTACAATTTTTTACCTCTCTTTTTCTTACTGCATTACAGAACTGTTCAGATTCCTTGTGAATTTAAAAAAAAAAAAAGGCACCTCTCAGAGATTAGGCTCAAGGCCTAATTTGGGGCTGATGATGGCCGTTTATACTGGACCCTGCCCCAAGTCGCCCGGCCAGGCATTCCTCAGCCTCTTCCCTCTCAAGTGCTCCTTCCGGGCCAGTTGCATAGAGATATTTATAGGCTTCAATCCACTGATTATGACTGGAAATAGACATGTTGAAAGTTTCTCATTTTCTGTTTTGTCAAACCGTAGTGTCTGTAATGCCTTTCTCCTGAGATAATAAAATGACGTAGCTTTATCATGCACAGATGTTGCCTGTGAAAAGAGAGATATTAAGCCGAGGCATTGAAAGATGGTCGGAATAGCTACAAAGAAAGAGGAGAAATATTTTCCCAGCAAACCTCCCTCTCCCCCCATTTGTTGGGTGATAACGAATAAATAGCCAGCTTCGGAAGAAATAAGGAGACAGTCTAGAATAGAGGACCTATTTCAAATGACTTTAATGTTAACATTTTAAGTGTCAAAGCTTATTTACAACTGAGCAGAATTCCACCGAGGAGGAAAGCACGTATCTCCCAAGTTCGCAACTGTGTGGAGAAACGTCTTAGTTGCCTACAGATTCAGTGGTACACGAAAGAGAGAGCTCCCTGCCTTGAAATATCCCTTTCTCCAAACATATCTTCCTAGATTAGGACCATGTGTCATTTTGATGAAGAATGTCAAACCTGTGTGTTTTACATAACAATTTACATACCTAATAGCGGTTGGCACTGATTGCAACCCAACTCTCACAGCCATTATAAACTTATATAACGACGAATGATTACAATGTTTGTCTGAAAACTGGTTTCTGAAAATAGAAGTGAAATTAATCTGAGAACAGCTTTTCTGCATAATGCATTGACCCAGATTAAATCAAGGCCTAAGCAAAGCTCTTGAGTGCTCTGAAAAAAGTACATGGTTCAATGAGGCTTTGAGAACACAGTGTGTCAAAGAGCCTTGTTTTATTTTTATTGTAGTCCTTATTTCTACTGCCAAAGAATTACTTGACATTCAGATTTGGGGGGAGAAGGGGGGCCTAAATGACCCAGCCTATGGCAGCCCCCCTTCCATGATATTACGCTCAGACAGACACAGTTGTTAGCTGTTCACTGGAGTTGCTGAGCATCATGGACATGGGCTACCACCGCAGAGAGAGGCCTGTAAAAAAAAGCAGTGTCCAGCACACAGACGGCCAGAGGCTGAGCAGGTACACGCAGCATGCTCACCTCGGAATTCCCCTGCCGATGAAGGAAAGCTTCCTGCCCCTCTGATATATCTGCAGCATGGCTGCTGACTCTGGTTGGAAATATCTGTGCTATAGTCATTGAGAGTCCCCACGCGTGTCTGAAATACAGGATGGGCCTTTAACATGGCGTTGCCATCCGTTATTCTATTATGAAAGCAATAACATATGAAAATAGCTGTTATCTATTGATTATGGCGGTTCTTCTCTGAGAGTCATAATATATTACTATTTAATCAATGGCTTCTTCACAGAAGCTTGGTGAGTAACTCCGCTTTTAAAATCACACACTTTTCCCAAGGACAATTGAGCAATAGTATTCTGCTGTCAGACTGATGGAAACAGTACTCAAATTGTCCTTTTCCTGATCCTAAAAGTGGAACCATTTCCGTAACTATGTATTAATGTTCCCTAAGATATATTGTAAATCATCCCATATCCTGTTGTTGAATGAATGAATGCCCTTTGGTAAACTGTTTCCCAAGTAAGTCTATCTCTCTCTCTCTGGGGTGGATTAGCACGCCTATTTCTCCTTCTCAGTTTATTTATTTTTTTAATGTTTAATTGAAATTTCTCGGAAGTACATTAATGCAATGCTTATCTAAATACTTATTATCCCTCTAACAGTCAACCTTTGGACTATGTTTCAAGCTGCTCAAAACCTGGGAGGATATGAAACAGTAAGTGTTTAAATAACTTGAATGAAATAATTGTGCAATCTCACTTTCCCTTCTTTGACCAAGATGGGAAAAAAGCAAAAGCCAGCAACCGTAGACCGGCTTTTCAAATAGCTCTACCCTTTGGGGGTTTCTCGGGCCACTCTTGGAAACGGTCCCAATTAGTCCCAGGTTTGGCAAAATTGTAAACTTGTCGTAAAAAAACGACAAGTGGAAAACATATGGAACTCTTCCTTGTCTAGGAAATCAGTTGGGTCTGTGATTTTTTCCCCATGTTGAGAAAGGCTTATTATTGTACGAGAGGCCAAGATGGAATAAAAGAAATTTCACTTGGCAACATACCTGACATCTGTTCATGTCTAATATGGGAAATGTATTAAAGGCTTTCAAAAGTAATCAGTATTGGCCATTCAGGAATAATATGCAGCAGAATCTTATTGCTAGCACACACCCCAAAAAAAAGGCTTTGTTAGACAAGGGTCAATGCCACATAAACAGGAAGTGATCAACCTAATTCAGAAAAGACTCTGACACTTTTTATCAGCTAATTCTATCGGACAGGAACAGTTTATTTTTAGCCCACAGGAAAATTTAATGGCCACAGATTTTGCAGCATATTTTTTGAACCTATAAAATGTTAAAACAACAAAGTTAGATTAAAATCTTGAAATCAGAAGAAAGAGCTGCATTAATACAGCCTGCAGAGATGACATCTGCAATAAAAACAATTGACACACAAAGATGTCGTCGCTGGAAATGCTTTCTTTTGCACTCAGTGATCAGATTAAGTTGTGCAGTTTCTTCAGAAATTTTTTTTTTTTTAAGAAGTAATCTGGGTTATCTCTATTTGGCAGTAAAATGACAAGAAGAGACACAAAATCAAGAAAATGAAATTCATTTTAGCCCAAATGTAATAACCAATGGATTGTTTATTTTTTTGTTGTTATTGTTGGTTTTTGAGTTTGGGGTTTTGTTTTTTTTTTTTTTGGTTATTTTTGCCAGATAAAGCATACTGTTCCAAAAACTAGTATCATGATTTGATGCAACGGGCTGGGGGTGGGGAAAAGGTGACAAGCTCTATGTGATACAGATGATTCTGTATTTATAGAACAGATATCTGCTATGCATTCTGACTTGGAATTCTTTGATAGGTTTGTTTGTGTGTTCCCATGTATAAATTCATTTTACATATGGTGTGTGCATGTTTATAAGGAATTGTAATCAATATATGAACTGTGTATAAAATATGCATTTCATAGGCGTGAGTGTTTCACAATGTTTACTTTCATAAGTGCCCTGAATAAAAATAAACAATGTAATTATTACACGTGGATGGCTCTGTTGATAGGAGTGGTAGATAGGCTCTAACTTTGACTCTGGCTGCTGCCTCGGTGAGATGCTGGGCTAATTATAGCCCTCATCTTTTGAGAATGATGGTAACTTGTTCAGAGTGTGTCTCATAGATTTAGAAGTCAACCCTGTGATCAAACCTATGTTGTGAGGGATAGGGATAAATGTTTTCTATGAAATGAAAAAGAAAGCTTCCACAACAGTCCTACCATGAGCCTTCATCGTGGCTCGGAGGTAGTCTCGGGTTCCTAAAAGCTGTCTGGTGATCCCATCTGTGTGTGATTGGTGTCCAAGGACGGGTCTTGCTAAGTTTGGAGTGGTTTGTCATCTGAATGTTGACCAGCAGGACTGAACCGTTCTGCCCACCTTCACTGTACCTGCTGAGTCTTAGAAAAGTTGCAGTCTGATTAGCAGAAGGAGCACTTACACCAATGAAATAATAATTAATAATGATGATAGTAACAGTAGCTGACATTTGTAGACAGTTTTAATGGCCTAAGCTACTTTTTATCTGTTGTCTTACTGGGACCTCACAATAACAATGGCAGATCTTTGAAATATCAAAGAAGAGGAAAAAAAATATTCAAACCGTATTAAATCTTGTTGTTGCAAAATACATTCTTTTTTTTTTTTTTGCTTTTGTGTTTTTGTTTTTGTTTTTCTTTTGCTTTTCGGTGAAATAATCGGGGTTAAGTGACTTGCCCAGGGTCACACAGCTAGTGAGTGTTTGGTGTCCGAAGTTGGATTTGAACTCGGGTCCTCCTGACTTCAAGGCTGCAGCTGTATCCAGTGCGCCATCTAGCTGCCCCAAAATACATTCTTTAGACCCAGCAACTCTGAACGCCATTCACTACTGAGGAGAGGGCTGATAAATTCACCAGTTCTACTTACTCCATGTCATTTTCCTCCCAGGTACTTTTTTCATGCAGCAGTATAAAAGCATAGATTGTACACGTGTAGCAGATTATATGTTCCTGTAATACAGGTAATACAGGGTGTTTGGGATGCTAAATGGACATATGATATTGAAAGCCAGAATGAGGCTGATCTTCCATTTGGATGCATGCCCTGCCATAGCTAATGTTGACTTGCACGTGGAGGTAGACCTCTGAAGAAAACTGAAGCTAAGCCAGTCTGTGACTGTTACCTTCTTCTAGGTGCCCTTCATCTCCCTCATCTTCTGCTGGGGTAGAGGAAGAGGATCCGTTTTTTTTTTTGTTTGTTTGTTTGTTTGTTTCTTTTTTACAGCAGCCCCACTTCCTCCCTTATCCATCTTTGTCTTCTTGGGAGCCATTGACTGGAAAATCTAAAGGTCTAGTTGTAGATTTACTGATCTATTAAATACAGGGAGCTGCTTCTCTCGGTCAAATGACCCACTTTGACTAGTAAGAACTGTGTGGTTGGGGACTATTCTTTGAAGTTATACGTGGCAGATAAAGCACACATAATCAACAACCACGGAATGATATTTCTTTTTTGCTTTTTTTCCAGTGTCTCCTTGACTTAGATATTTTCATGTAGACTCTAGGAATTTTGAAAGCAATTAACTCCACTCCTTCATTAGACTCATTGGCTAAAAGGGTTCAGCAGCAATTATTTGTCGCATAGGTTTGTTCTCTCTCAAATACCCAGCTGCCAGAGTTATCCATTTCCAGGCTATCCATGTAACATGAAGAAGCTCATTTGATCTCTCTGAGCCTATTCCTGAGATCTGACTTATCTTTTTCAAGGTATCTGGGTAAGCAGATTTCATAATTGACCTTGATATGTATCTAGTGATCCCTTGTGTGTGTCTGTTGTCCAAGGATGGGTCTTGCTAACTTTGAAACTTTTCCAATGACAAACAGGAAGTTGGGCTCAGTAATTTAAACCCTGTGATTCTCACAATGTTTACAATCACTTGGTTTTTCCTTGTAGCTAATGTTATGTAAAGGAAGATATCATTAATTTGTAATGGTCTAAAATCATTGGCTGAGGTTTTAGAGAGACCATCTAGTCCAGGGTTCTTAATCTGGAGTCATGAAATGTTAAAAATACGTATTTTGGTAATTGTATTTCAATGTAATTGGTTTCTGTTGTAATCCTATGTATTCGATTTTATGCAAAAGCAAACAAACAAACAAAAAAACCATTTTTCTGAGATGAAGTTTAACCAGACTGCTAAAAAGATCCATGACACACACACACACACACACACACACACACACACACACACACACAGACAGAGAAAGTTGAAAACACTTGACCTAGGCTATTTTCATTATTTACAAGGGAAGCAGCTGAGGCCCAGAGAGGTCAAAAGACTCCTCCGTTTTCACTGGGTTCAGTGATAGAGACGACATTCAGACCCAGGCCCATATTCTCACCCTTTAAACCACCATCCTCTTCTTGCTGAGAAAACAAGCGTGCATCAGAGTAGACAGGAGAATCAAGCTGAGAGTTCGTATATGGCAGTAGTCAGTCACGCACACGTGTAAAACTTGAAGTTTTATCTGTTTGGCTTCTGACTCACGGTAAGATAAAGACATCTCACTGGAATCCGTGGTGGTTCCAGAATAGACTCTTTTAATTGGCTTGTTTTTGTTGGTGGTTGTAAGCTATTTCCAGACTTCTGGATGCTGTTTCAGATTGTGGGAGCCTTCGGTCTCAGCCCTCTGCAGCCCTCAAATTGTATGACAAATTTAAAAAAAAAAGAAGACAGGGCCGAATTTGTTCTTCAGGTCTCTGTGGTATGTCAGAAGTAGCGCCGTCTCTTCTTCTGGCCAGACGGCAGATACGGAAATGGATGTGGTGTCTGTAGATCCCAATGTTTAGAGCCTGTTAGTCTACTGGGATGAATTTGATTTTCTACAAAAGCCTATGCTGGAGCTTCTGTTGATGTACAGTGACAAGCCTACAGTTGTTTTGGCACTTTCAGATCTCCCTTCCAGCCTTACGCTCTGATGGGCCACCCCTCTCCCTACCCCCGTTGGCTAGGTACATGGCAGGTGGGTGACCTCTCAATTTCCTTCATCCCTACAGAGAGTTGTGGGTCTTAGAGCTGATGGAGACAACTGGGGCCTTTCCAAGGTGCATGACACCTGTGTTGGTCAGAGATGCATTCCCTGTTGGCTTGCTGCTTGCATGACCAAGGACAGCCAAGAGCCAAGAAAGGATCACGGGGAGAACAAAAAAGTCTTAATGGATTCCTCTTCTGGGGTCTTGGGATGATGAACCACCACAGTACTTGCTAAGCCTGTCAATTAATTGCTTCCCCTCTCCCCTCCCCCACATGACAGAACCACGATTTTTTTTTTCTTTCTCATTTAGGCAAATGCCTGTTATCTTCTCAATGTGTGGGTTAGGCAGAGTTTGACATCATTCTCATGATATCCTCCGAATCTGACCTCAGTTCTCTGGGCAGACAGAGCTTCTTGCTTAATTTGAAACTAGCTGGGCCAAAGATGATGTCATGTGAGTTCCTGGAGTGCTACCAGGAAAAAAAAGGCATATTCCTTGATTTCAGCTAGCCCTCAGGCCTCCTGCAGAAGAAACATTCCCAGAATGAGCGAGGGCAATCCCGGGAGCAAATGGGCCTTGGTCCTGCCTAGGCCACTGTGGAGCAGCCCCAGGGTCCCAGCAGATCACAGCTATCTCTCTTCTCACTGAGGGTCATTTGATCTCAGCATCCTCCTCTTCTTAGTTTGAAAGATCCTTGATTTCATTGGTGAACGTGCTTCCTTCACTGGCAGAGATCAGAACCCTTCTACCGCTTGGTAGATAGTGTCACGACACGAAAAGACAGCGCAGTGGATTTGGAGTCAGAGAACCTGGGTCATACCTACTTTTGCCAGGTGCTGCCTGGTAGATCCTGGGCAAGTCACTTCACTTCTCTCAGATTCCACTTCCTCATCTGTTAAATGGGAACATTAGCACCTACCTCGCAAGGTTGTTGAGAGCATCAGATGAAATGATATTTGTAAAATTCTTTACAAACTTTAAAGGTTGTAAATATGTATCTTATATAAATATATATTAAATATATATACTATATATAACACATATATACATAACATGTAACATAAATAATATATCTAACAATAGATATATATTAAATATATATCTTATATAAATATATATATGAATGATAGCTATTGGTAGTATTAGCTCTCTGGACTTCAGTTTTCATCCTTTAAAATAAAGAGATTCAGTTAAATGACCTTCAGAGTCCCTTTCAGCTCTAAATCTAAGATCTATGACCTGCTCTAGCACGGCCCCCCCCCCCCAAAAAAATGGTGGCCAATGTTCTGATGATGTATTTCTCCAGACTTTTAGCTGGTCTAGTTTCTCAGATGACGATGTCCATCTCTGAGCTCATAGTCAAGACCTTCCTGGCTTGGCAGGCATTGCCAGGGCTTCTTTTCCATTGGGCATAGCCTTTGGGGCTCCATGGTCAATCTCCACGCCAAGATAAGGTATTGGAGTTGGTCTTGATTACAGGCTCCTTACCTTCAGGGGTATCATAACTCACTTTGAAGGCCCAGGCTCAGCTTTGTCAGGAGTATATTATGAAGATAGTAGATTGGGCTGAGTCTATAGTAAGGATATAGTAAGGATAGTCCCTGTGGCATTCGAATATCTCTTAAAGTTAAAATACCCCAATCATTCAAACTGAAGTGCTGCACTTGATGGCCAGGGGGAGGGGGGTAGGACGTGGGGAGAGGCAGATATTTTCTCTCTCATGAGTTCTTATGAGTGATATTTTTCAAATATTGTTTGCTTTGATTTCACACAGGTGAATTACATGTCTAGTAAGGATCTAAAGAAGCTAGGGGTGCTGGAAGCATTAGGAGAGAGCGTACTTTATGAGGGATTTTGTAGGCATTGAGCCTTTTTCCACTGGAATTCTTCGAGTAGAAGCTTAGAAAGTCCAGTGGTGAAAGAAATGCAGACACCCAAGTGGATAGGGAAGCCAACGGTGACCCAGGTTCAGTGAAGGGATGACCTAAAATAGCTGTTGAGAAGGTCTCAAAGAGCCTGCCCAGCTAGAAATCTCTGGTCCTGGGATTCTGTCACCATGGCAGTCACCACTTAAGTGAGACCATGTCCTGGAGGCTACTTAGGCCCATGCTGTCTTTGCTACTAGACGGCCACTGTATGTGGCAAGTACAGCTTTAGGGATGAATGCAAGTGCCAATGGGCAACCTTAGTATGGACATGTACCATGTACCATAGCCGAGAGAGAGAGAGAGAAGTTTAAGTCTTGATGTGCTGCTATCAATTAAGAGAGATGGAATGATTCTTGGATAGAGAGCTAACCTCAGAGCCAGAGAGTTCTGGGGTTCAGCCCCACTTCTGACACATCCTCTCTGTGCCCCAGGTAACTCTCCAGGACTAGATGTTGCAAAGATGTTGCTGACATGCTTAGGTAGAAGAGGTTCCCTCATCTGGGAGTGCCTTATATCACTAAAGTCACAGGGCCAAGCTCTGTCTTATTCATATAAAGAGAAATTTTCCCTTTGGGTGGTAGCCATGGGTTTCTCCTCCCCAGAGAGACCGGGATAAAGCAAATATCATTATTCTACCTCTTGTCAGTCTCAAAGACATCTTAGATACCCTCCACTGAGTGGGCTTTTGAGATTTCTTATTTTAGGACCCATGGTCAGCATTTGAATGAAAAGTAAGTGAGAGTGAGGCTGGAGAAATAGAGCAAAGAGGAATTTGTGTCGAAGAGATCCCAGGACTTAAAAGCGTTTTGTAGTCGGTAAGAGCACATTTCATGTTTTTTTTTCTGGCGTAAAGAGAAAAAGCAATTTGTCTTAAAACCTCGACCCATCAAGAGATGTAGCCATTCAGGGCTATGGCATTAAAATACAGTCAAAACAGAGATAACCTTGGCTAAGATCTTGTCTTCATTCATGATGACACCGGTATTAGCAAGAGCTGTAGAGAGACACAGTTCCTGCTAGTGGGTGCTAACAAATACCAAACTCTAACAAGTGTGGACATGGCTTATTAATGCAAAACTGTGCCCTACACACTTCCAGCTGACTCAGTTTCATTCTCAGTGTGAGCAGAATTCCTCTCCTTTGATAATTCATCGCTTATTCTCAAAGACATCATGTCTTTTCAATATCACAAGGGTGTTTAACAGTAGGGCCCACCATGGGGGAAAAAGACCCTGTTAGTCTTTACCTCTTAACCCAGTCATAATTGGAACTCTTTTGTGACTGGTATTGAGAGACTTAGGATTGGCCAACTCAGCTTTGGGAGATCATTTAGATACAGGCCATGTATAGTGGACCTAGGATGGGGTGTAGGGGTGGTGTAAGGACCAGAGAGACAGTTGGAAACACGGGGTATGGGAATCTGAGGAAATCGAGCCATTAGCCACTTGCCAACCCCCAACATTTGATAAAACCCCCAAAGCCAAGAAACTAACAATATCCCAAAAGCACTTTCTCCCAAAGCTGGTTTCATCTGTTGCACTTGAGTGACCACATGAACCAGGCTGTCATGGGCAGGGTGGTAGATGGGGACTATGGAACTCAGACAGTTGAGTTTAATACAACAGACACACTTCTGTTTTCCCTCTGTCCAGAGAGGCTCAAGAGCAGTGGTACATCCCAGGAGTGGCATATTTTGACAATTCTTTCTTCCCTTTTTACTTCCAAAGTCTCTGAAGGAAAAACAGACCTCTTGAACAGAATTAGCTCATGATTGTACCTTTAAGCTGGTTGGGGGAAGATTGTCATTAAATATAAAATCCTTATCAAAATATATATTTTGAGTCTTGCTGAAAAGGTTCCTGTAACCATTTATTAGAATCTAAACCATCCTGTGAATAGAGGAGGATTTTAATTTCCATTTTACCTGCTGGTAGACGTGAGAGGTGGTTCTTTCTAATAAGAATTCACCAAACAAAGGGTTTCGAGACTACTTCACAGGGAATTGAACAATACTAAATAACATATTGTCTCAAGGCCCTACTTTGGCTTGTTGAGAAGGTTTTATGAAAATGAAGGGTTTCTTTTTATGTAAAGCAGGAAAGGCGCCATTTACCCTATAATATTTAACCACCCATCTCCTCCTCTTTAGATTACAATTACAGAGCCCAGATCGCAAGATGTGAGATTTGTTTTCTTTCTGATTGCTGCTTGTGGCCCATTAGTGAACTCCACTGGCAGCTCTGTGGGTATCTTTGAGCAGGACCTCAGGCTCTGATTGTGTTAAACTCCACCAAAAATGACCCCTTGGCCCCTCACTCACTCTCACCCGGGCATTGCTGTCTTCTACCGGCTCTGCTTTGGAGCATTCATATAGGGTATAGAAATATGCCCTTTTTCTTCCTACCTTCAAGGACACACCCACTAGCCTTGCCAGGATAGAGTAATGACGTGGTTTCCCCAAATTATTCTTTTGCCAGATCTCCCATCTGTTATTTTGTAGATTCCTAATTTCTTTACAGAAAAGGAAAAAGAAAACAAGAGCATGGTAGGCAATTCAATGTATTGTAAGATGTTTATTTTCATTCACCCAGCCCAATAAAACACGTAGCTCACATATTAGCTTGGGGAGTACGTTTAGATTTTGTTAGCATTCGATCTATATACTCTTTTGCTGACCTAAGTGAATAAAAATAAACAGCTTGTGACATACAAAGTTACAGATCCGAGTTTTGTTTTGGCAGACGTAGCAAGCTGGGATAAAAATACAGCCTAGGACGGCTGGGAATTCCATGACCAGTTTGATTTCCAGGATTCCATTTGACTAATGAGCTAATCAATAATTTTGCTGAGCTCTAGTTTCATTCTGATGGCTAACCATGGGGTCTGACGGAGCGAGGTCTAAGTTGGAGAACTTGATTGGGGTGAGCAAATGTCAGGATATTGGGGGGTAGGGAGGGGAGGGCTACCTTCTGTGAAACTAAATGGAGTGGCATGATATTGAACCAACAGTCGAATTCCATTTCCTCCCAGTCAAGAAAAGGGATGGATATCAGGTTAGGGTACAAAGCCATAAGCTTATTGTATATTCCATAGGCTCTCTGCTCTTGGGTTTCTAGAACGTGCTGTTCTTCTTGTACTGTTGCATATGCATTCAAGGCTGTGTGCTCAGATGCTGTCGAATCTCTAAAGATGCACGTTTGAATTTGCCATCACCGTTTTTTGCAGATAACAGCCCGCCGACAATGGAAGCATATTTATGATGAATTGGGGGGTAATCCAGGGAGCACGAGTGCAGCTACGTGTACACGCAGACATTATGAAAGGTAAGAGAACACTTACTCTCAATCCTTGTTTAATTAAAAGCATGTTACTTGGGAGACACTTGATTGAGGGTAAGAGAGAAGAGGAGGTCAGGGGACTTTTTAAAAGATGTGGAAAACATCCCCCTGCCACTTTAGTTAACCTACTGCTCTGTGATGAAAATCTGAGCTTATATTTTGAGGGTTACAGATGATCAAAGAAGATGCTTTGGTTTGGGTATATGTGGTGATGGCATCCATTGGGTAGGTACCTACTTTCACAGGCATTGTTACCCCTCCCCCTAGCGCTGGCCCCCCTCATCATAGAGGGACCTTCTACTTCAGAAAAGCGTATCTCTGGAGCTTTATTCTCAGGTCACCATTGGTGTACTCTGAGGAGAGATTGCCCCTACTCTGTCTGGAAAGTCAACATTTCTTTAGCCCTTGTAAATTTCCCTGGTTTTTCTTCCTTCAGTTGATGTTTTTATCTACCAAGAAGTATTTGACATATGAAATCCATTCTTTACAGTTCCGTTTTTACAAGCTTCATCCTCTGTCATGGAGGCAGTGACAGCCCAGACAAGATGTAGCCTTACCAGCATAGCCTGCAGTTGAAGGTGTACTCGTGCCTACTTTTTCATCAGGACAACACCTTGCTTACTTGTGTCAAGAAAGAACAGTTAACAGAATCAGCTCTTGTCCTTGCTTCATGCTTCAATTCCCAAAGCTAAATGGTAGTTTGGTCATACTCTGCCATGATTACAGGCGATTCAACAGGAAGGCACCCACTGAGCTCAGCATCCTGGTTTCAGATGTAGGACTTGTGAAATCTAGGCATCACTTCCTTTATTAATGGCCACTAATGGCCCAGACTCTAGGCACAAGCTGTAAGCTTAGCTAATAGACAATTCACTTGTTTGTTTGGTGGGGAGACAGGCTCATTCGTACATTTGCTAATTGTTCTTCTCTGATGTAATAGTCACTGTACCCGCTTTGACCACAGGGTGCCATAGTAGATGCCCTTTCCAGGGTCTACTTAAGAAAGACATGTAAACTAACTGTGGGCTGTGTCAAGGATTGCCCCGTGAGCAAATCACTGACTAACCAGTTACAGAAATAGAAAGGATGATGCAAAAGAGCATTGCTGGGTTTGTTTGTTTGTTTTTTCTTTTTTCATTTGTACTATATTTCCTTTATGGAATATCAAACTGCCTGTAAGATTTTACAATCAGAGGGGAAATTAGAAGTATTCTAAACCATCCCCCCCACATTGTATAGGTGAAGATATAGGGGCCTAGGATGTGTGAGGTATGTGTGTGGGGGGGAGTGAGTGTGTGTGTATATGTGTGTAATGTGACTTGCCCCACTACGAAGCTAGGTCCTCTGACCCTAAGTTCTGTCTTCTTTCTACTATTCACACGATACACTTTCAGTTTGGACACAAGATTCAAAAACATTTGAAGCATACTTGATATCTCTGGAGAGAGGAGACAGCAAGATATAGTAGAGAGAGTGCCAGACTTGGAGTCAGAAAGAGTCGGTTCAAATCCTGCCTGACTTTTATTGGCTATACAGCTTAGCAAATCATTGTTGTCTGATTCTGAGCCTCATTTTCTTCTGCAAAATGGAAGTGGTAATGCCTATACTTTATAGAGTTGTTGAGAAGCTCCAATAATGTATTTAAGCAGTTGGCAAGTCTTAAAGCATGCACAAATGGCGTTATTATTATTGTTGTTGTTGTTATTGTTACTAGCGAGGAGGCACAGTATTTAAAGTGCCAGGCCTGGAGTCAGAAAGACTCATCTTCCTGAGTTCAAATCTGGCCTCAGAACTTAATAACTGTGTGATCCTGGGCAAGTTACTTAACCTAATTTGCCTCATTTTCCCCATCTGTCAAATGAGCTAGAGAAGGAAATGGTCAGACCACTCCATTATCTCTGCCAGGAGAACCCCAAATGGGATCACAGAGAATCAGACACAACTGAAATAACTAAACAACAACAAAAATTATTATCCTTCCTTGTTTGGGACACAGTTACAATGAATACAGTGGATGGAGTTGGGTTTAATTGCAGCCCCGTGTAAACCTCTTTTGTCCCCACGAATGCATCCCTGTGAGAGATTCCGAGGAAAGGGGGTTTTTAATTTATGCTATTAGTACCCCCAAGTCTAATTTTTAAAAATTGGTGACATGTTGAAATTGTGCTGTTAGAACTACCTTCTTTTTCTATTGACTTTTTTATATTGACTGTTAACATTCTTAATGATAACTCTTTATATATCTTGCACAAAAGTCAAAACTCCCATTCCCTACAACATTCATCCTCGTTAATAAGAGGCAGTGTGGATGGAGTATCAAGAGTACTGGAAAGACCCAGGTTCAAGTTTTACCTGGAATACATACTGCCTGTGTGTCCTTGGGTAAGTCACTTACCCGTTGAGTGCTAGGCACTGTTCTGTAACTTTAAATCCTAAATGAGTGGCCAGTCAGCCTGGCTTGAGGAAGTCTCCTCGCTGCAAGACTGTCCCTGTGACAGTGGAATCTTAGGTCTGGTTCCCTCCCCCACACCACACTGCACTAGCCCTTTGAGGTTTACAGAGACCTACCCTAAGGGTAGATTGAACCAGGATTCTCATGAACAGTCTATAGATGAGCTCGCAGAGGCTCCCGGAGGATCAGTGTCTTGCCCGTGATCTCAGGAGGCGCTCCTGACTTCACAGACAGCATCCTTTCTACCAGTCTGCACTATCTCTACTCTCTTCCGTCTGTTCCTATGGTTCTGATGCTGCGCTCTGAGATAAGTGGTCTGGAAATGGCACTGAATCCAATTATTGTTCATTTCTGACTGAGCCCGGTTGGTCCTGAGCATCTTCATGCCTCAGTCCTGCCTTCAAGAAGCTTCTTTTCTGTTCTACGAGACCCTACACGTCCTTCTTGTCTGTTATGTGGGCAGATTCCTCAAAAACATGACACGCAGACCATCTCTAAGAACATCATTCAGACACTCCCTGCGACACCCTCCCCTAATGGAAATGTTCACTCCCCCATCTCTGGCGGAAGTGTTGAAGATTCGGACAGCCTGGGAGCCAGAGTCACATGGTTTGGGGAACCGAGTTTAGTTTCTATACAAAATTCAGTCAAATTTGTTACCCAAGTAGAAACAGCATCAGTATGGAAAGACAGGGATGGGGAAATTGGATTCGGTCAGAAGGCTGCATTTAAGGACCTAGAAGGTCACATGTGGCCTTAAGGCTGAAGATTCCCCACCCCTGGTTATGCACATCGGTGCCTTTGAAGGTGGTGTATACTTACCCTCCCAGCTAAATGATTTGTCTCTCCTGCAAGTGGCAAACACCCCAAACATGTTTCGTTCAGGTCTCATTGTGCAATCCTAGTGAGGAAATTTATGGCTGAAGCAATTTGAGGAAATGATTATGAATGAAGGAACAGTTTAGGGGAAAGGGTCTGGTTATTTCATGAAAGATCTCACTTGATAAAAGGGGGCAATGGGGACTGAGTCCTAGGGAATTGAGTACATCACCCAGGGCTGGCAGAATTGCCTTAAACATCCCTTTCGCTGAGAGGGGCTTTGGTGGAGGAGTCAGGGTCTGAACCCTAACAGAAAGTTAGCCATCAGCTCCCCAGGGGCTTATCAACATGCTTCTTGAGAACAGGGACTGTTTTGTTTCTGACCTCTCTGTATCCCAATTGACTTGCATGTAGTTAGGTCCTTAATAAATATTCTTAATTTGAACCTATGTATCCAGACTCCAAGCCAATTGCCCTGTCCTCTGTGATTAGAGATTAACTTCAAAATCATGTATTCATGATGGGCACGTGTGGTTTTAACAGAAATAACTCAAAATTCACTAAGTCAGTGAAAGGACTACAGCATTCCAAATGATTTGGAGAAATAAGGAAGAGCAGAAATTCCTCATGGGTGATCATCTAGTTTCCCTGCCTTTAGGAACTTAGAACTGTCTCCTAAATTCATTTGTGTGTAGGCAAATGTTACTTTTTCTGGCATTTTCCACCATGACAGTAGCAACTGGCTTTTATTCTTACCCAACATCCACTTTTCTTTTCAGGAAGAGGAGGAAGAAGAGTGATTTACTGTACATTCCCCCTCTGATTCATTTTTCAGGTCATGTGTTTCATGTTCCAGTAAATGCTTTTGTTTTACAATCAGGAAAAAATGTAGCCAATCTCTCAGTAAGTGTTATTTGTCCAGCATATGAGTTGGGCTACTTTGGGTTTATTAATGAGCATAGTAATGAAAGTACAGGTTATTGAATAGAATCAGTGGATGTTTTTATTTAAGGCATAGCAGGAATCGCCACCACGCCAATGAATGCATTGTTATTGCTGAGGGTCTGACTGGCCGAAACCTGCCTCTGATTGGTTTAAATCAAATAGGCCCAAGCACTTCATAAAAATGGCTTTGTCAGCCTAGTTTTGCTTCCAAACCTATTCATCTCTGTCAGTTTTTAATATTAGTACCAGGTTCTTGGCTATAGTCCATTAATGCTGTATTTAATTGCTTGTGTTACAGATGATTACCAATATAAAAAGCATTCATATTTTCCCATCGTGAGACTGTTGCTATGTAGACAGTTCAAACTCAGCAGAGTTTCTGAAGCATAATAGTAATAACAATAATAATAATTATAATAGCTAATATTTACATAGTGCTTCCTATGTGCCAGGCAGTATGCCAACTGCTTTACAGTTACCTCATTTGAGCCTGGATTCTGTTATTATCCCTATTTTACAGATGTGGAAACTGAGGCAGGCAGAGGTTTGACTTGCCTAGGGTCACACATAGTTAGTGTGTCTGAGGCTGTATTTGAACTCCGGTGTTCCTAACTCCAGGCCTGGCGCTCTATCCACTGAGCCATCTAGCTGCCCCGAGCGTAGTTATTTTAGACATCCCTTGCTCTAAATTCAGACTTAGAATTGAATTGGGTATTAGTGGAAAGGAACATCCTTATTTGCTGCTGAATTTAAGAGCATCATGTTTTGC